GGGTCACGTGGTCGCGGGCGCGCGTGGCGGCGAGCGGAGGGGCGGGGCCGGGGCGGTTCCAACGCTCAGCGGCGCCCGCACTGCGCCAGGGCCCGGGCCGCGGGGGCGCGGGCCGGCAGCACGTCGGGTTGCCGTGGTGAACGGGGACCCTGGCTGTCTGTTTGGAAATGCAGTTTGTTTTAATAAACCCCCAAATCCACGTTTTTATGCGATTAGAATGAAACCTGTGTTACACGGGCGTCAGCTGAACACGGTGCTCGTTAGCAAAACACGCGGGGCGCTCGTGCCCGGGCGGCGGCGGGCCGGGGGCAGCCCCCAAGCGTTTCCAGTCTTCGGTGTTTCTGTTAAGGCCGAGTGCGAGCTGTAGGACACTTCAGTCTCGCGTCACCGCGGTGACATCCCGGCTCTGTTCAAGCCCCAAACCCGCATTTGGGGCAATCAAAATGAGCCGTGTTTGTCAAGTGTGGCGCGGCTCCCCACCTTGGGAAGGCGCCGAAGGGCAGCAAGCCGGGCTCGTCCTGGCTGTCTGTTTCGGACGCAGACCGAGCGCCACCGACGTCTCCGGCCGCGCCGTCCCGGTCCAGAAAAGGATGATCTGCTGTTTTGTCATTTGTTTAATCGTTTTGGCGTTCGTTTGTTTTTATATGTTGTTGTGAATGAGATGGAGTATGGCATGGCATTTAAGAATATGTTAGTGTTACCAGTAAAAATTAGCTTTTTATATGTTTTTAGATTTGTTGGCTTTTCTAGAGAATGTCAGGGCAAGTTTAACGAGGGCAAGTCATTAAAGAAGGGCAACTGCTGCATTATTTTGGGCCGTGTAGTCAAGAATAGCATGGATTTGAATCCCTGGAAAGGTAGAAACTTTGGGCTGGTCGCCTAGCTCAGCCCACACCGGTCGTGCGCTTTACACCCCGTTGTGGTGGTCGCGGTAACGGGGGTCCTGTCGTTAATCATCCCGTGCGCGCTCGTTTGCTGGATGCAGAAGCTCTCACCGAGATTCGAAGCTAGAGCAAGCGAGGAGGGGGTGAAAGCTCTCCTGAAACGCCCCATAAAAAAGGGCAAGGCGGCCTGCTCACGAGAAGATCCGTGTCTCGGACGCGGCAGCAACCCGCGTGCCTTGAGTCGCATGCGAGAGGTCCACCGATGCCTGTGTGATGCCATCGCATTTCGGGGCATCGGGGAGGGGAGTGCTAAGCCGTGCTAAGGCTCCTGGCAAGAGTCCAGGCCTTCCCAGACCTAAGCAACAAAACTGAACAAAGCAAAGTGCCTTCTGTGGCCCTGGGAAGCGTGGGTGCCCTGTTTGGGCTCTAGGTGAGCAAGGCACAACAGTTTCCGTATAAGAAACGTGGCGGGCACAGGGCCAGGGGGCTGGTGCACGGCGTAAGGACTGCTGGACATAGAGCCAGGGGATTGGACAATTTGGGCTGCGAGAGAAGAAACAAAGGGAAGTTGCGTTAGAAGCACCGCGTGCTGGGAGGACGGACGCGCCTGCTGCAGCCCTGCCCGAACAGCGCAGCGCGGGAGCCGGAAACAAGCGTCGCACGCGCCCAGTGGTGGGCCCGAGGCCCGGTACCCTTGAAGGTCACCGCTGAAACGCTAAGAAGCCACTTTTCAGGTCACATTCTGGGGAGGAAACGTAGTATTGACTAGGGGTTACTATTAACGGTCACTTGATACCAACTCAGACGACTTGCAGCGTCAGTCCTTGGAGGGGTCTCTGGCAAAAAGAATCCTATTGGTAACAGCATGGGGCTATACCCCCCAGCCCGCCCACGCTGCAGCGTGGAGGCAGTGCCCTGTGCCCCCCCCAGTGCTTTGTCCAGTCTGTTTCATTTCCTGTCCTGGTGCCAGACTTGGCAGGCACCAGCTGCAGCCCTTGCTGCTCTCGCGGGCATGCATCATGGGTGACCGTGCCTTCCGCGTTCTCCCAGGCTGCGGTGCAAGCAGGCCGGAGGACAAGGACGGGCTGCAGGGACACGCAGGGCAGCACAGCTGCAGTCTGGCCCCTTTGTTTTCCAGGGGGACCTTTGGAGTCCCCTGGGGGGAAAAGCCCTGTTTGGGATCCCTAAAGCTGGGCTAGGACAGCCTGGGCAATTTATACCCTCAGGGGAAGAAACACCTGGTTGCAGTTCATCCGTGGGGCTTTGCCTTCCTACAGGACAGAGGAGCTGCAGACTGGAAGCTGAGGTGATAGGCTGGGACCATACGCTACTGATACGGAGGAAAACCTGAAAGGTCGCAGGAAGTGGTGAGAGGAGATGCTACGCTGGAGAGCAGCAGAGGCAAGGGCTAACGGACACTCCTGCCCATACTTCTTTCTGTTTGTGACTGACGGACTAGAGACTTCCTGGAAGTTGACCAGCAAGGCACTGAGTTCAGCTCCTGTCCGTGACGCCTGAGCAGCAGGAGTGCTTATCCGAACCGGAGGACTGTGGTGGGGTTACTAGTCTGTGAGGCCCCGCTCCAGGCCAGAACTAAGTATTTTTGTACTCTTAAAGACAGCCCTGGTTTCCTTCTCTGGGAGAGAATTCTATATTAATACCATCCAGTCATGGCAGGTAAGTACCCGAGTGGGTAGCGTACCCCCTGCAGGGGGTTTGTTGTGGTTTTTGTGTGTGCGTTCCAAGCCGAATCGGCCGAATCAATTCCAAATGTGTGAGTCAGTCAAGAACCGAATGTGGCCATACTACCGGCAAACATCTACTCCCACCCGGGGCTTCAGATGTCTCCAAATCATTTGGCAGGCATCCTATGTGCAGGCCCAAGGCCAGAGGCTTGGCTCGGATGCCCCCCAAGTTTCACTCGCCCTCAGCCGTATGGCTGCAGGAGCAAGCCAGGGAGGCGTCTCCTGTTTCCATAACGCAGGTGTAAAGCCAAGATCTTCCCATAGGAAATGAATGTGGGAGGTTAACTATACATTACTTCCATGGGTACTAGCCCATATTAGAAAAGTGGTTATCCCCATACGTTTTTCCAAAAACCCAAACACACACACACACACACACACACACACACACACACACACCACACACCCCCTTAAACTGCGTTAAGAAACCTGCCCACCCGTTACAATAAATGCACCTGCTCCCCCGCGCACCCACCCACCCACTGCCCTCCCTAACCCAATCGCAGTTCCTTAGTCCAAGCCCCGATTTGGGATTTGCAATCTCAGTTAATTGACCGTCTTTGTTGCTGTCGATGGCGCTCTCACTTCCGCTGCTGCTGACCCTGTTGTTTTCCTTCTTGCCGTCTCCAGGTCCAGTTGTGCTGCTGTCCTCTTAACTTTCCCTGGCCGCGTCTCCTCCCGGGGGATCTTTGAACAGCCTGTGCCACAAGTCCCTTTTCCAGGCGGAGTTGGCTGCGTCTTCTTTCCTCTCCCCCTGATTTCCAGTAGCAGGACCAGAGTTCCTTCAGACGCATTTTGACACGGCCTGGTTCCTGAAGCTCCGCGTGTCTGTACGCCAGTGGGTTCCTGCGTTGCCACAGGCGCTGACGCGGGATGCAAACTGGTCGAAAGGAGTTGTCGGGCCCCTGTTCTTTCCTCGGGTGTCCATACAGCACCGCCGCCTCCCTTGTTATCAGCCCGGCTCCTGTCACTTCCTCCAGGAGCGGGCTTACCTTTTCCCACGCTCCCTTGGCGTAGGGGCAGAGCCACAGGAGGGGGTCAATGGTTTCTGATTCATTTTGGCAAGATTCCCTGGGGCAGTTGGGTTGAATCCCTTGTCCCTCTCTGTGTCTCCGCTCTCACCGGGAGCGTGCTATTAGCTGACTCCAGCCCCTGTGGTCCTGTTGTGGGTGCTTGTGGAAGATCCGGTTCCAGACAGCCTGGCAGTCGTCTTTGGGGAGCGTCTCCGTGGTGGATAGTCTGTCTCTGTCTCCAACTGCCTTCTGTATCTTCCCGTGGTTGGACACAGTCGCCTTTGTTCTGGAGCCTGTCCTCGCTCCGGGACCCGTTCGGCCCCTGGAGAACCAGGGCTGCTCCGTGGTCCGCGGGCTCCCGCCCTTGGTGCGTGCTCCCCACACGGTCGCAGGAGCAGACCTGCATCGATCTTTACCAGACAGGCTGTTTTGCTCAATGGCCCGGTCACCAGCTCACAGATCTGGCTCGTGTACCGTGGCCAGTTGAGCAGGTGGATGTCTGGCATCCCTCGGCCCCAGCCCGTTTCTCTTTTTATAGGGTCTTCCTTGCCCCCTTCTCCATTTGGGATCCCCAAAAGAAAACACACGTGGCTCTCTGGATTCTGTGGATGATACACGGGGGGAGACACGAGTGCAGTGTAGAGGAGCACTGGTAGCAACACCACCTTCACGAGTGTCATGTGTCCCCCCATGGAGAGCTGGCGCGCGTGCCGCAGACACAACCTCTGCTTCAGCTTGGCCTCCTTGGCACGCAGCGCTGGTCGAGCTGTAGACAAAGGGACCCAACTGCGCCCCCTCCCCCGGGCATAGAAACCCCCCAGCCGTGGTGAGCGAGGTCAGGCTGAGACGCTGGTCAGTGCTGCACTAAAACCCAGGGAGACATTCGCTGGGGCAGATGCAGCGCCAGGACCTCTGGCAGCGCTCGCAGCCCTCACCCAGGCTGGATTCTGGCAGGGTGGCGGCACTGCCTCTCGGGCACAGCCTGGGGCTGAGAGGAGGGCCAGGACGGCCCTACTGACCGCTCCACCCCCAGAGACGCACCTGACTGCCAGGAGCGCAACCAGGGCACGCACCGAGGGACCCGGAGCCCCTGCCTGTTGCCAGCCACCTTCAGCCTGCTCGCCCCGGGGCGCGCTCCGGCTGCCCGCTGCTCGGCAGGGGCTGGGAAGGATCCTGGCTGCCGGAGCCCATGCCCCCTCCGCTCCCGTCTGTGAGGTCACAGCCCGGTTCCGTGACGCCGCAGCAGAGAGCCTCACCAGCGGAGCCGGGCGCCAGGTGGGAGCCATGGACCCGCCGCAGGTAAGCGCTGTCGCTAGGCCCCCGCACTGCAGCTGCAGCGTCTCGTGCACTGCTCCCCGGGTGCTGCAGCCTGGCACACGTGCGCCGAGCCCCCAGCCCCGCTGCTCCCCACACCTCGCTCTCAGCTGCCTGGACCCAGTGCCAGGATGGGCCCCAGCAGCCTCCCTGCCACGCATGTGCCACGCACGTGCCACGGCAGGGGGGGCAGCGTGGTTGGCGCGTCTCTGCTCGGACCGGCTGCAGCCCAGCCCCGCTCTTGTTGCAGAGCCCGGAGGACGCCCCCAAAGACAAGGGCCCTGCCTCCTTCACGCTGCTGCCCCGCGCGGATGCCATTCGCTCCAAGCTGATCTACACCTTCTACCTCGTGGACCACCTGCAGGGCCTGTGCCAGGCTGTCCCACGACACAACATCCGGGACTTCCTGGGTACGTGCCCTGGCTCTGCGGCAGCAGGGGACCCCAAGGGGCTGGCTGTAAGTGGGGGGCGCAGCCGCTGCTCAGGGCCTCGCTTCCTCTCCGCTGTCAGTACAGAGCCCCGCGTGGCGAGGGTGAGGGCGGGAGGAAGGACTCCCCCAGCCCTGTGCCGTGGGCACTGCACCCCAGACCGTGGCACTGGAGCCAGCTCGGGGGGTGCCTGGATGGGGAGGGAGGGAGGGAGGGGAGGCCCTCCTGGACCAGAGCAGGCTGACAGAGGGCCCGTTGTGGGGAGGTGACACGAGAAGGGTGGGAGATGGGGACCAAGATGCCTGGGCCCAGCCCTGGCACCAGCTGGCCGCACACACCTGGGCAAGGCAGGTGGCTCCGCACTGCGTAGGCTGCTTACCCATGCGCCACAGCCTGCAGCCCAGCACACGGGAGTCTGTCCAGGTGTCTGGGAGCTGCCGCCCTCCGGTGCGGACCTGACCACCGCGTGGGGGCCCAGCTATGCCTTGCAGCCATGCGGTCCCTCTGGCCATCGCCGGCCCGCCTGACCCTGCGGGGCCAGATGGTCATTGTGCTGGGCCCAGCCCCTCTGCTGCCGCAGGGGAGCCGTGCCCGCCAGGGAGCGTCCCGGCCCCTGTGCCCGGGGCCACAGCTGCTCCCCGGCCGGTACCCGGCCCCTGTGGTGAGGTGCGACCGGGCCCTCCAGACCCTCCCAGCATCGCTGCTCCCTGCAGACCACAAGAAGAGGAAGAAGCTGATGCTTGCAGACCATCACCAGCTCATCCGCTTCAACATCGCCCTAGTCAGGAACGGCGGTGTACCCCGGGGCCGGCGCCTGTGCAGCCGGCTCCACGTGCGCTGCGGCCGCTGGCCCCCCCTCGCCATGTGGGCCTCCTGGCTGCTGAGCAGTATCCTTCGCCCCAGGATACTCCCCGGCAGGAGGGGCTGGCTCTGGGGAAGCGTCGGATCCACGTGCCTGGGATGGGCCAGCGCCCCTTGGCAGACAGCCGTTCTCCGCCCCCACCCTCGCCCCTGTCCCTGCCCGCGGGCTTATGGGTCTCCCAGGGATGCTCCTCCACGACGGGTGGAGGAGGAGGATCCTGGCTCCCTGCATTTTCCTCAGCAAGAACCCCAGGCACCATCTTCAAGTCCTTCATCATCATCCTCATCTTCCTCAACACGGTCATCCTGATGATCAAGAGTGGTGAGTGGGAGCGTGGGGGGCAGTCAGGGCCAGCCCCGGGTGGTTCTCGGCAGGCGTGGGGCCCAGCACCCACTCCCATGCTCCCCAGAGATGATGAACTGGACGGGGGAGAGCATCTGCAACCTCATGCTGAGCCTGGAGGTGCTCACCTGGTTCATCATCGCCATCTTCATCCTGGAGATCGGGCTCAGCTGGGTTGTTGACTTCAGGGGCTACTGGCACAGCATCTGGAACATCTTTGACTTCAGCATCACGGTGCTGGTGAGGCTGGGGCTCTGCCCCCAGGGGCAGGGCAAGCATGCGCGGCGGCGGGGCACGGCAGGCGGGCAGCGCCTTGCTCTCTCCATGGCTGCTCCCCGCAGGCCCAGCCGTGCTCACCTCCCCCAGCAGCCCCTCGCCTGTGCCAGCAGCTCCCGTGTCCGTGAGCCAGTTGGCCCAGCCCCAGCAATCCTGGGATGCCAGTAGCTCTGGGGCGGGACAGGGAGTTTGTGACCCGAGCAGCAAGGGGATGGCCTTGGTATTTGTGGCTGTGGCGGTGCGTTGGAGCCCGGGTTGGGCCGTCTGGGCACCCCCGACACCATGTCCTCCGCAGTCGCTGGTGCCCGAGTTCCTGTACCTGCTGCCCGTGGCCGACTGGGAGGTGCGCCGGAGGCTGCTGCGGGTCGGCCGCGTCTCCCTCTCCCTGAAGCTCTTCTCCAGGTTCCGGCAGGTGCGGCTCATCGTCCTGGCCATCATGAAGGCCCTGAAGGTAGGAGACTGGGGGCTGCCGTTGGCCCCGCTGCCGCAGCCGAACCCCGGGCCAGCACTGCCCTGACCCCCTTGACCGACTGCCTGGCATGTCCCTACCCTGGCCTCCCCGCCCAGCCGAGGGTCACCCCGCTCTGCTCTGCCCTGCCCCAGGCCATGACCTTCATCCTGCTGCTCCTGTTGATTTTCTTCTACGTGTTCACTGTGTCCGGCATCTTTTTCTTCGAGAGCTACAGCCGCTCGGATCGTGCTGACCTGGAGTACAGCTGGTACTTCCGGTGTGTCCCCACGTCCCCCCACCCCGGCCGTGCGGCGCCCTCCCTCCCTGGGCTGGGCTGGGCTGGTAGGGGACGCACGTGCAGCCGTGTCTCCACCTGCTGTATTCTGCTCCTGCACCTCAGATGAGCCGGCGTCCGAGCAGCCGGGAGGACGCAGGCTAGGGACCAGGGTGCCTGGGCCTGCGCATCTTCCCCCCGGCCTTGAGGCAGTCCGTGACCGAGCTGCTTCTGCCCCCAGGGACCTGCCCAACTCCCTGGTGACCGTGTTCATCCTCTTCACCATGGACCACTGGTACAGCCTGCTCCAGGACACCTGGAAGATCCCCGAGATCAACAAGGTCATCAGCGGCCTCTACGTCATCCTCTGGCTGCTCATTGGCTCCTTCATCTTCAGGAACATCTTTGTGGCCATCATGGGTGAGTGCCCGGGCCTGGGCCCGGGGCGCCTCACTCACGCCAGGGCCCACGCAGGCAGCCACGGCCCAGCCGCTCCCGCCGAGGCTCCTTCCAAACGGCGCCCACATCTCCCCATCCATCCCTGCGGGCACTCCAGGAGCTGCGGGGCTCTGGCAGGGCAGGACAGACCCTGCTTGGAGCCAGCTGCTGCCACAGCTCAGCAAGCACAGGTCCCAGCCTGCCCAGGCCCAAAGGGCGCAGGCAGGTCTGCACGCCCCTGGCCCCTCCGCTTTCACGGGTGTCTCTTGGCTTGGCAGTGACTAACTTCAAGAACATCCGGAGCGACCTGATCGAAGAGGTGAAGCAGATCGAGACACAGAAGAGAGCCGACCTGTTCAAGATGCAGATCAGGGAGAAGTGAGGCCATGCCACGTCCCGGCCGGCTGGGCAGGGAGCGGCTGTGCCAGGCGCTCCCTACAGCCTGCGCTCCTGCGGGGAGAGGAGCTGGCAGCTGCCCAGCCCCCTGCCACCCGCGCTCCTGGGGGTAACCCGGGGGGGGGGTGCCACTTGCTGCTGTTTGGCTTTGGGGCCTCTCACTAACAGCCCGCTCGGACCCTGCAGGCGGCAGAGTCAGTCCCACGTCCTGGGGGGCAGTCTGGAGAGCTCGTCCAGGTGAGCCGCAAGTACCAGGGTGGCAGTGATGGGCGAGGGCCCAGGACCCTGCCCCACATGGATGGGCCTGGAGCTGGACGGGGCCCAGATGCACATGCAGCCTCTGCCAGGCCCCGGGGCAGGGCAGCAGGGCTCAACCCCAGCTCAGGCAGGTGCCGAGGGAACAGTAGAGCTGCTGGGGAGCTTTGGGGTGGCTGGAGCCTGGCTCCAAGCGCCCACCATGGCTCACTCTCCTCCCACAGCACCCGCAAGCTCCACTTCTCATGCTTGGAGCCCGAGAAGGAGCTGGCCTCCGAGCTCAGCCCTCCGACCTCATCGTCCGACCAGAGGAGCTCCAAGGACCGTGAGTGCTGCGGTGCTGCCCCAGGCAGGACCTCGGGGGCGGTGGGGTAGGATGTGGTGCTCCCCTATCGTCCTACAGCGGTCCAGAGTGTGGGTTTTTGTTTCAGGGGACCATGAGCATCCCCCTTTCCCCCCCCCAGCCCCTGCCTTGGCAGGGGGAGGCTGCGGGTGGGGCTATCCCAGCATGGGGGGGGGGG